TGTGAAGTCGAGGGGCCACGCATGCACTGTGGAAGACAGGGGCCTATTGATTTGGAACGAGTTTCCTGTGATGGGCTGTAGCGTGGATGGGCTCGTTACTTTCACCTGCGCCTGCTGCAAGGGTGAGAAGCGTATTTTAGAAATCAAGTGCCTCAACACGGTGAAGAAACCTTTCTCAAAGGAAAAGCCGACGCCCCTATTCTACACACAGGTTCAGGTCCAGATGGGGATAACGAATATTCCAGTGTGTGACTTTTTCGTCTACAAGAGTCCAGAGGACTGGAGGGCACTTACCGTGCCATTTGATGCTGCACATTTCCTTAAATGTTCGGCTGCAGTGCACACCCTGTACGACAAGTACATTTTTGACACGCTGAAGAATCTGGCATGTTCATACTCGTGGTAGTGGGCCCCAAAAAGGGCCAGTGTGGTAACATTAGATATGCATTTGAAGCCAGCAAATAAACAAAAGGATGGCAACAAGCACGTGCTAATACATTCATTTATTACAGTATGCATGACATCAAATTTCCAAAATTAAATTGGCATAGAAACATATCTTACAAGGCTGTTGAATGGCTTGTGTGTCTAAATGCACGAGCTAGAAATATTGACTCATTGCTGTGCTTTGACAACCTTTCTCCAATGTGGCACAGGGGAAGAGTACCTTGAACGAAGTTAACAAGGAAATTCTTGGCTAGAGACAGTCTGTGACCGAACAATACTTTTTTCTTACTACCCTGCTAAAGAGAACTCATTCTTCACAAATGACAGTGGGATGCCATGTTTGAACTGCCCATTAAGTGATCTACAGATTAACGTCAACGTTTAAACAGGCAGCTAAAAGAAAACGCTATCGTGTCCTGTTCAGCAATGTATTAACCAGTTAAAAATTTGTCGTTGCTGAACAAGGGCTTTTAGAGGTTCACGAGACCTGCAATGATGACGACAACATCATCGATTTGCGGAAGGAGGTCTGCGCTGAAATTGTCCCGAAGAATTCGAAACAACTTCATTCGCTGAATTGCACGCTCGACATGGACGCGTGCGGCTGCGATGCTTTGGTTGTTTGCGGCGTCAGATTTGCTCAGCTGTGTGTTTTTCGGAGAAATGGTGGACGAACCAACTTTACCTTGTGTTCGCAACACAGCTCGTCAATTAAGAACCCTTTGTCGACCATTACGCTGTCGATGAAGGGCAGGCATTTCTCTAAAAGCCCACTCTCCTTTGTGATATGCGTGTCGGAGGATCTGCCACAGTATGCCGGACTCACATAGCTAATTAAGCCACCTGGCGTCTCGCACACAAGCACCTTTGCAGTGTGGGTTCCCTTGTAGTGACTGTAGGTAAGTAGTTGAGACTCCAGGTTTTGCGGCTTTTGCAGAGGAATCTCTGTACAGTCGAGCACCATGCGACAGTCCCTGTACTTGTTAAAGTACTTGGTCAGGGACTGGAGCACATCCTCCTTTTCAGGCCAGAAAACGGCGTGCCTGAGCACTGCTGCTAGGACCGGTACCGACGCTCTAAATATGTTGGAAGCTGTCGTCCTATGGACCCCAAACAGTACCCCAAGAAGGGAAAACGTCAGATTGTGGTACAGCTTCATCATTGTTAGCAGTACTGCGTCCTCGTTACTGATGCTGAAATCCTTCCTCTGGCTTAATAAGCGAGATTCCCCATACAGGTCGCAGATGTTATAGAATAGCTGAAAACAGGGTATGCAGGTCAGTGATACGAGGGCCGGTTCATTCTTAACCCGTGCTATCCCGAGCACTTGATCTTTCTCAAGCTGTAGTGTGTCCGCTTGACTTCCGACATCTTTCTTCAAGGTGTGAAGTTCAGCCTGAAGACCTGAAACATTAAAAAACAACTCAGGTATCAACTAGAATTAGGCTGACATGACTCACACTGGGCATGCAATGTTTGCTTTCTCCTCACCAATGGGATCTGCAGCATCGGCATCCTGGTTGGGTAGTTCCTGCTCAATCAAACCCTCACTGGTGCTGGCTTCTTCGGAGTTCAGCCCTGCCAATGTAACTGCTGCTGGCAGGTCATCCTTGGCTGTTAAATCCAAGTGGAAAAAAAAAAAAACAGAAAAACCTAAAATTACAGCTCAGCACTGGAACGGAAATAGACACGACCATGCTTTATCTTCTGATGACTGCAAAAAAAAAAAAAAAAAAAAAGTAAACAGGTATGCAGGAGCCAAATATTTAAAATCTGGTTATTTATCACACAGCATCCACTGATACCACGAATGTTCCCTACAAACGAGAGCACTCACGGCGAGGCTTGCATGTGTCCCCACCTGCCCGCGGCTTCAGGGGCTGTCTCAGCTTCGGGAGCTTGTCCAGTGGCCGTAAAGGCAGATTCTGGGACGGCACGGTTCCTGGGGCGAGTGTCCTTTTTTTCCAGCCTGACGAGAAAAAAAGGAAGAAAATCAATCACGACGGAGCGTGAGCATGCGTCGATCTCGGCCGTCTGATCGCCAGCTTTGCTCAGTTCGCTCGCGTGACTTTGGGGCGTCGTGGCCCAGGAAAACTAACGAGTGTTAGGCACTTAGATACACGCATGCGTGATATCACTCTCTGCGAAAACGTTTCGTGTTTGCAGCTTACGTGCAAAATGCAAGAGCGTCGATCTCCGACGGGTCCAACAAAATCCCCCCCTTTTTGTGGAGGTTCACTGAAATAACTGGAGAACACTTACCAAACATCTTCGCTCCAACCGCATACACGAAGTCTTCATCTCTAAAGTGCTTGCTGCACACTGTCGAGCTCTTGGAGTTTAATTTGCCCATTCTCAACTTCACAAGCCACTCCGTGCGCAGCTGCTTCTCCTTGGGGTAGATGTGAAAGCTGACGTTCGGGTCGGTCGCGTAACTGCGGCATTGCGGCACCGAACAGTACTTCACCATTGCTTCCTGAGCACGACGGCTGCCGAAGCCGATCCACGTGTGAACTAATCGGGCTCCAAACACAGAAAAAAACACGAAAATAACGACCGAACGGTTCCCGAATACCCCGACCAAAGCAAGGCAGAATAACCGTCCTTATCACGTGATCCCCTATCCTACGTCACGGTCGAGCGATCGCAGCGCTCCAATCGGTCCCGCTCGGGGCTAATACCGGTCTGCGCGTCCGTGTACCAGGCGCAGATCGCAGGAGTCCGTGATGTGAGTCACGTGGTACACGGCCCGCAGACGAAAATCGCGATTCAGTACGTCGTGCAAATCTGGCATTACTGACGCGCAGCCAACTGTATTGAAATCGCTGCAACGGATTGTTTTTAACTGTACTAAGAAACCATGCTTTTTCATTAGAGCTAATAAAATAAAGGAGTGGTGTCTTCTGCTCTTGTCGTTTATTGCTATCAATGCACGTCTTGAATTAGGATGTATCGTAGATTTGTTAAGCTGTACCTTCTTTCTGCTTCGCTTTCACTAGCTTGGTCTCGCCCACATAGGTTCAGCTGCTTTCGCACCAAGCAAGAAAGAGGCTGACTTAAACATGCACCAAAAAACACAATAAAACAAACTTAATTTAAGTAGGAATTTAGATAAACTTCCTGAAAAAATTAAGACATATACGCATGTTTCACAGAGACATTAAAATATTGAAACAGAACTTCATAACAAAATCATAAAAACAAAAGTGTGAATCAGCACCTCCCCCCCCCCCCCGCCCAATGAGCACGCGAAAAACTGAGCTCGCGAGTGGACTTGCCGATCCTTCAAAGGAGTTTTTTTCTAAAGAACTTTAATGAGACCGTAATACCCCAATCAGACGGGCAGATAAAAGGCCCTTAGAAAGAACTATTTTAAAGAATCGGTGGATCAGCACGCGATCTTAGGCTTATCGGTGTGCGCTGGTTCGCCGACCCTTTAAAGGAGTTCGTTATGAACCGACACCCTTCTTACACCTGACCCCGGTTCCGGCATAAGAGGGTTTCAATTTAATAGTTAGAAATAGGCTCAGGTCGTGCGAGAACGTATATATGTTTCTTCGCCTTCTCGCTGATTTTGTTTTGTCAAAAGCTGCCTGTAAACTAAAAAATAGAAAGAACAAAAAGTGAACCTTGTTTACGTATGTTTATCGCTCGCGTGGGAATGAATGATACTACTTCACTGTTCGCCCAGAAGAGCGCAGCAATCGTTGGTGTCGTACCTGCCACACGCAGAGGCCGCTTATTTGCTTGAGTCTTTCGCAGTCAAGGTTGCTGGTTTTACTTCCATGCGGCTACCTATTTAGCGGACGTAGTTCTCGGCCCGCTAGTAGATGGCGCTTTGCATTTCGCATGCCCAGAGTTCCTTATGGTGTAATACGCCAAAACAACAAGGACGAAATCGAAGGGAGAACTGGAGAGTCACTGACCTGTTCTTTTTTCGTTTTCGTCCTTTGTTGTTTTGGCGTATTACACCAAGATACAAAACCAACTAGCCCAACTAGCCATCCTTATACAGAGTTCCTGTACAGGCTTCCTACGGGAGCCAGAGATGCTCGTTCATCCCCGGAGCGCCGGCGTCCCTGCACGGCATGGGGAGTCTGCTCCTCACGTTTCTGAATTCGGCGAAAAGCGGCGCCGCGCGTTCGAGGCGCGCGGCGAGCTCAAAAGCAGGGGAACGAACGCCGAGAGCGCGTGCACAGTCTACTTTCCAGCATGGCATTTGTTTCTGCTCCTCACGTGATAGAATCTCGGCGAATTGTGGCTCGGCGGCATGTGTAAAACGGACGCTCAACTCTGGCTCCTGTAGGGAGTCTATACAGGAATTCTAGTGAGTGAGTGAGTGAAACATGTCTTTAATATGCAAAGGAGGATCGCCTGCCTTGGCCGACAGGAATTCTACGGATGCGGTCTATTGGGTGTAATTCTCAGACGGTGGAATCTCTTGCAACAATCATTAAAGAGCTGAATCTTTTGTGCAGCAAGTATTTTTAGGGGAACAGCTGTATTATAAAAAATCTATAATGAACAATGTTTTATTTATTTTTTTTTTTCAGATTGACGTTTCAGAATTTGTGCCGACTTCGTATCAAATTTACGAGGCGCAAAATAAAACTGACAGCGCTGTGGAAGCCTATAAAGATTTCATCGAGCAAACAGTAATTTTGTTTTTGGAAGAGAAGGACATTAATATAGCGACAAAGATTGCTCAAGATATATTTGACTTCGAAGTAAATTTAACAAAGGTACCGTTCGCTTCTACGTATTTATAAGAATCACGCTAGTAGCCCGTGTTATTTATTTATTTATATTACAATACTACTGCACCGATGCACGGGTATTGTAAGAGAGGGTTACAATCTATGTAAATGAATACATTCCGACATGCTAACGCAATTCACTTGCAATAAGGCGGCCAGCCACCCCATCGCAGTATTTATTAGCATATATTTATAAAAATAAAATTATCTTTCTGTAAATATATATAGATTTGTTCAATAAATATATAATACCCTATAAAATCATATCAGAGATTATATATACGATTGATATGATTTATATAAGTTTTATTTGGAAGAATAATGAGGCTAGTCGTTTCACTCTGGATGAACCAACATTTATCGTCCGTCCTCGCATTCGATCGTGATTTCGAGCTAACGGATCTCCTTCAACGTAACCGCCAGCGGTTAGCCTCCGTAAGAAATATCAGAATACCGCTGGGTTTCATCCTCTGACTTAGGATTGAATTATGCGAATGAAACCCGCTCAGAAACTAAACTGATCATGTAGTAACGTGTGTTGCTTCTGGAACCGTATAATTTATTCAACTTTTTCTTACATACGATGTTGGCATTCGTCCCAGCCGCTGCCCCGAGTCTTCTTGCATACAGCGGTGACAAGTTAAGAGTTCAGGGCGAGGGAAAGAAAGGCCGGGGAGGGGGAAGCAGGCGCAATGCTGGAGCGAGGAAGATATTTCCTCCTATCCTCTCCAGCAATCCACCTGCTTCCTCCTCCGCAGCATGGCTTTCCCTCGCCCAGCACTCTTAACCTGCCACAAACTATAAAGTGAGCGTACATGTGCGCGGTCCAGAGCCCACGCACAAGCGGCTCTGCGTGGGCGTCTTCAAGGGGCACTCCAGCGATTTGTCGCTGATTTGGCGCAAAATTGGCTTAACGCTCCGATACACACGGCTGTTCCAGTTCCCCAAGTATTGTGTGAAAAAAAAAATAATTTCGCGAAGTGATTAAATTTTTGAATCTCGTAATCAGTTTGTTTCTCAAACGGAGAGACCATACTGTAAACACTAAGTGTGACGACAGGAAGGGTTCAATGCGGGCAGTAAGCCATGTTACCAACTGATTACCAGACGCTCGACATACTTTGTTTAAGACCACCTTCGTGACCCGGAAGTCAGTGCCACTTGGGACGTCACACCACTGGAAAGCGCGCGGAAAATGAATATCGGCG